AGTGTGGTTCTGAACTCAATATCCTCCAATGACAGTTTTGTCCTGTTTCTTTGTCTCCGCATTTTTTATGCTTTCTTGGTGCACCCCCTAGTGGTCTTTGTGCACAGTCTTGTTGTAGTTAAGCCTTGATTGTTGTAGTTGATACTGGGGGGATTTGACCTCCAGGCTAACTGGTTATGAGAGTCTGAAAAGTTATTTCTTTCTTTTTTTTTTTTTCTATGTGGGGTGGTTGATCTTGAGCCTGCAGGGAGTTCTCCAAGTCCACATTGCTTTGCCTCCAGTTCTTACGTGTCCAAAGACAGGGAACCACAGAAAAGTTATTTCAATGGCCATGTGGAACAGCATTTATTTGTACAAATTCTGGAATCATTAAAATTAATAAATTGCCTTTATAATCAGGAATACATAAATAAAAAATGTGAATTTCTAAAAAACCCAAACTGAAGATCTTGGGACACTCCTCACATTGGAATGGCTTTTGGGCTCTGTGGAATCTTTCTTGGTGTCCCCCACATGTGGAGTTTCCCTCATTGTTCTGGTGGGTAAGAGCAGGCTCAAGGGTGATCTGGTCTGACCTGGAGAGAAACACTGGTCCCACCTCCATAAGGAGATCTTGATTAGAGGGTCCTTTTGGGTCCTTCCTGAGACCTGGAGGTGCCTAGACGTGCTCTTCTGGAGCTGAGTGGATTCTCCAAAGAAACATCTCCCTCTTCAGGCCTCTCCCTGGATGATGAATAGGGAAGGTGTTTGACTGCCTTGACTAGTAATACTGTCATTTACTTCAGTAGTTTTCAAAGAAATGTTGCCACCATTTTCTTTATCTTCATCTCCTTGTCCTTCATACTTTGCAGAGAAGTATCTTGGGGAGTCCAGAAGGGTGTCCTCACATTTGCCTCTGTTGGGATCCAATTGGCAACTGTTTTGTTAGATGAACAATGATTTCTCTTAAGGGCACATCCTCAGAAGAGGACTTCCTGTCCCTGCATGTGCAGGTGAACCACGCCAGGGGGCTGCACGCAGTCACCACTCATGTCCTCCATGAATGTCTCCAGGTTTCTGCCACATGATTCCCATTCTTCCTTCAATGTGGAGCTGTCACTGCAGTACCTGCTGATCATAAACTGTTCTAAGACACTTGAAAAATCACTTCATTCTTGCTGTTTTTCTGGCTGTAGCCATGAGTGACATGACTTATAGAGCCTTTGCAGTGTCTGCCTTGCACATGAGTTATTGCTGTTTTGAAATAAGCTGAGCTGAGTGATCTGAAACCCAGATACACCTCTGGCCCCCACCTTTTGGAGAGCAGGTCTTTGGCTAGGTTTAAAGTCCATATTTTCTAACTTATAGTCATCCCTGCATGATTCAGATAGAAATGAGGTTCTGAGGTCTAAATCCATTCTAAACAATATTTCTCACAGACTCAATTTCTAAGATTCAATTCTTTAACTCCTTTGTTGATCGTGGTGGACGCTTAGAAGACCGTGAGCTCCTCGAGAAGAATGAACTTCAAACTGGGTAATCCTGGAACAAAGGCTGAGCTGCTGTATGACTGGCTGTCTGCACTGGGTTCATCTGATGGTTTAATATTTTAAAAATCAGCTTATTTATTCATTCATAAAACATGTATAGACTATCTCCTAATAAATTCTGTATATTTTAGTTTATATTGCATTAAAAGAGATATGATGACTTTTTTTTAAGTAAAGAATTGGCACTCATGTTCATTCTAGTAATATTAATTCCAACAAGTTAAAATCAAAACAGAGCTAGAAACCAAGGAATGGATGTTTGAAAACGACGGACTGGGAAATTTGTTTTATGCTATGGTGATGAACTTTTAAAATTTATTTGAACTCTTGTTCAGGAAAATATTTAGGTTCTCCTTAGATGGCTTAAGGACCAATTGTCTAGCTGTGGATTTTATTTGAAAACCATGAAATTGAAAAAAAAAAGTTTCCTTTTATAAAAGGCTCCAGAATAAATAACTTCTTTAAACTTTTCTCTAAAGTCTCACATATTCTCTGTAAAAATTACCGGTGTTATTTCTTTTGAGATGATGAACTATACATCCAAAGAACAAAATATTCCCTGAATCTGTTTAGAGTACGTAAGATCTGTTCCTAAATGTTTGCCATGTACCCTCAGGAATCTGGTAGAGTCTTAGCTGGTTTTGCTCAGTGGTAGAGCTTTGGCTGTGGACTTGGGCCTGGCTTTGATTCCGGTCAAGGGCACGTACCTCGGTTGCAGGCAAGGGCACCTATGGGAGGCAACCAATAGTTGTGTCTATCTCACATCAAAAAGAGACGTTTCTCTCTTTTTGACCCTCCTTTCTATTCTCTAAAAATATCAATGTAGCCCTAACCAGTTTGGCTCAGTGGATAGAGCGTTGGCCTGCGGACTGAAAGATCCCAGGTTCGATTCTGGTCAAGGGCATGTACCTTGGTTGTGGGCACATCCCAGTAGGGGGTGTGCAGGAGGCAGCTGGTCGATGTTTCTCTCTCATCGATGTTTCTAACTCTCTATCCCTCTCCCTTCCTCTCTGTAAAAATCAATAAAATATATTTAAAAAAATCAATGTAAAAATATCCTTGGGTGAGGAGTAACAACGAATAATAATCTGGTAGACATTAAAAAACAAAAAATACAGCCCTAGCTGGTATGGCTAAGTGGATAGAGTGTCGGCCTGTGGACTGAAGGGTCCCAGGTTGGATTCCAGTCAAGGGCACATGCCTGGGTTGCAGGCCCGATCCCCAGTGGAGGGTGTGCAGGAGGCAGCCAATCAATGATTCTCTCTCATCATTGATGTTTCTATCTCTCCCTCTCTCTTCCTCTCTGAAATCAATAAAAAATATTAAAAATAAAAAACAAAAAATATAGAAATTTGTATATAATCTTGAGATGGTTAATAGCACAGAATTATGCAAAGTCCTAGCAAGTATATCATAAATTTGATCATTTGGACATATAAACACTTAGTAAACTTACCTTAATATAATCAGATTGAAAATCCACATAAAACTGGGAAGTGGAAAGATCTTTGGCTTGGGAGTAAATATTAGTTCTGATTCTACTGCTAGTAGGTATTGGATTTCTTTTTAGGGGGCAAAATGATTCTGTAATTAGTGGTATAGTTGCACGACTTTGTGAATATACTAACAACCACTAAATTGTACACGTTAAAGAATTAACTTTCTGGTATGTAAATTATATCTCTTATTAGCATAAAATTCTGGTCCCACAATTTTTGCCTTTATGTAGCTATGCAATCATTTTCTTTCTAGCTTCATCGAGATATAATTGACATATAACATTGTTTAAGTTAAAGGTGATGATTTATGTTTATATTGTGAAATGATTAACACAATAAGGTTAGTTAGCATACCCATCACCTCACATAATTGTAATTTTTTGTGTGTGTGCAATGAGAACATTTAAGATCCACTCTTGGCTACTTCCAAGTATATGATACAGTATCACTAATCACACCGAATATAGATCCTCAGAACATATTCATCTTATGACTGGAGCTTTGTACCCTTCAAATAGCATCTCACTTTTCCCACCCTCCAGCCCCTGGCAATCACCACTGTAGTCTCTATTTCTGAGTTTGCCTTTTTTTTTTTTTTAGATGTCACATAAGTGAGGTCATACAGTATTTGCTTTCTCTGACTGACTTTTTTCACTTAGCACAATGCCCTCAAAGTCCATTCATATTGTCCCAAATGACAGGATTTCCTTGTTAAGGCTGAAAATTTTATATATATACTTGCACATCACATTTTCTTTATCCATTCATCTGTCAGTGGACACTTAGGTTATTTCAATATTTTGACTATAATGATGCAATAAATATGAAGGTACAGATGTCCTTCAAGAGAGTGATTTCATTTCCTTCAGACAGATAACCAGTGAGATTGCTGGATCATTTTGCTGTCCAAGGGGAACTCCGTTGCTTGTGGGGTTCTTGGGGTGCCACTGAAATAAGCATTTTCAGAAGCCACCAGGGGAGGATGAGAGGTGGTAGAAGATTTTTTTGGTGTGGAGTTACGTTCCTCTGTTTCTAATGTCCCATTTCCCCCAACCAGTCAGGAAAGAGGGGCAGCAGGGAGTTCAGCAAAGCCAGAAACAGGGCCACTGTCCAGAGTTTCTATTCCATGTTGCAGCCAGGTGTGGTTTAGCATTCAAGCCAGAATAAAGCCCATTAGTCCACATGTGGATCCAACGTGACCGTGGGCCATGGGGGCACAGTGAGGCGCAGCTCCCTGCAGCAGGAGTCACAGGAGCCAAGAGAGGGTGGTTCCTTTGTCTAGAAGTTTATATATTCAGGTTTCTCTGGCTTGCGGTGGCCACTCCCATCCTGGTCACTGACTTGCTTTCAAGTGAGATTGAAGGGCAATCACTCTCTCTCACTTCACTTAGAGGCTTAGACCTTACTGGGCTTGTGTCTGAACTGCCTCTTACAGTCCCTTCCACCTTCAGTCAGTGGGGAACAGACTTAGAGAGTGTTAAATGCAGTTTTTTGCAAAGCTATATGAATGTCATGGCTGCATTATTTGGTCTCCCCTTTCACTCCTATCCTGTTAAATAATAACCAGTTTATTACAACAGCATTATTCCTCCCCGAGAAAAATAGAACCTCTTTATAATCCTACTAGAGGCCTGGTGCATGAGATTTGTGCATTGGGGCGGGGGTGGTTAGGGGTTGGTCCCTCAGCCTGGCCTGCGCCCTCTCGCAGTCCTGGTTCTCCCAGTCCAGGACCCCTTGCTTTTTACCTTCCGCCTGCAGCTGAGGTGGGAGAGGCTCCCGCCACCACTGCTGCGCTCACCAGCCATGAGACCGGCTTCTGGCTGAGCAGCGGTCCCCCTGTGGGAGCGCACTGACCACCAGGGGGCAGCTCCTGCATTGAGCGTCTGCCCCCTGGTGGTCAGTGTGCGTCATTGGGACCGGTCCTTCCTCCGTTCGGTCAACTTGCATATTATGCTTTTATTGTATAGGATAGTGTTGTTGGTGTGCACTATAGGTCCTTTTGCAGCAACATGAGGAAAGAATCCCAAATGCACACATGTGGAGAAGTCTAAATGTGATGGTAAGATTTTATTATGAATTAAGGGGAAATAATACACCCTAGGGGACCTAGGGGGTGGACAGACTCTAGAAGCACTGCCTCGAGGCTTTTGTTAATCCTCCATATATCTTCTTGGTTTAGGACCTAAACTTTAGGTAAAGGACAAAGAACCATTGAAATTATCCAACTCAAATACCTAACTTTTCGAGGGCTTGGATTGGGCTCTCTTCCCAGTAAATTCTTTTTTTTTTTTTTTTTAAATATATTTTATTGATTTTTTACAGAGAGGAAGGGAGAGAGATAGAGAGTTAGAAACATCGATGAGAGAGAAACATCGATCAGCTGCCTCCTGCACATCTCCTACTGGGGATATGCCCGCAACCCAGGTACATGCCCTTGACCGGAATCGAACCCGGGACCTTTCAGTCCGCAGGCCGACGCTCTATCCACTGAGCCAAACCGGTTTCGGCCCCAGTAAATTCTATTGGGGTTTCATGCCCTCTATCCAACCCAATTACCTTTCCAATGGTCCCCACCCTAGGCCCTACCTCTATTTCATCACCCTGACTCCCACTGCCCATGTGCCCCAGCAGAGGAATTCCTCCCCCACCTCCGGTACAGGGCTTTTAGCATTTCTAAGGTTTCCCGTCCCATTCTGGATGGAGGCAGCCCCCTTAGAGTGTATTAATGGGTCTGTTTATAAGTAAGCTAGATGGAAATTCTGTTCTGTTACTTGTTCCTTCTCAGTTTATGAAAATTACTTCATTCCCTTTTGCTTTCTTCCTTATATTAATGACTCTAACTGCCTATGCTGACAATATGATAGCTCTATTTTTAATTTTTGAGGAACTTCCATGCTGTTTACCAATTTACATTCCCACTAACAGTGCACAAGAGTTCCCTGTTCTCCACATCCTTGCCTACATTGTTATCTTGTCTTCTTGCTTATAGTTATTCTAACAGGTGTGAAGTACTATCTCACTGGGGTTCTGATTTTCATTTCTCTGATGATTAGTGATGTTGAACAACTTTTCACTAGGGCAGTGGGTCATAATTCAATACAGCTGGTCCTGAGGTCAGTCATGGGGTCACTGGTCTGGTTTTGCTGCTTTTCTGGACCTGGAGCTGAAATACAACTGAGGCCTAAATGTTATCTCTAGGGAGGAAAGGTCAAGGGGTCAAAACCACATGACCAGCGATATGCTAGGGGAGGAAAAGTCACCCTGGGGGCGAGGTCCCACCCTACAATTATCCATTGCAAGGCGCCTGGGGCTTTCCACCCTCATGACCTCCTGTACCTGGCCCATCATCCTTGCTCTGCCTACCGCATATGAGCAGAAAATATTTTTTCATTTATTTGTATCCTCTTCAATTTCTTTAATCAATGCCTTATTGTTTTCAATGTATAGATGTTTCACCTCCTTGATTAAATCTATTCCTAAATGTTTTATTGTTTTTATGCTATTGTAAAATGAGATTGTTTTCTTTATTTCTCCTTCAGCTATTTTGTTAGTGCAACTAAATTTCATGTCGATTTTGTGTCCTGGGATTGGATAAAGAGTAAAATGGAGAGACACATATTTCTTTTACATTGGTGGGTACCGGATAGTTAATAACTAACATTGACAGCACACAGAGATGTTATTCAGGGCAAGAACACAATGAGGGGTTCTGTGGTCTCTTGCTCTGTTGTGGTGGCTGTGCCCTAAGGGCCCTAGAAAAGGTGAATATTCTGATATTTCATAGGTCTGTTTTCTTAGATGCAAAAAGACAATAGACTTTCTCACTTACGGTGAAGATTGACCTTTGTCAAGGAAGCTACACCTTAGGATGTGACTATCCTCCCTGACTCATTTATAATTAGGAATATTTATATTTATTTTTTAAAATATATTTTCATTGATTTCTGAGAGGAAGGAAGAGGGAGAGAGAGGTAGAGACTTCAATGATGAAAGAAAAATCATTGATTGGCTTACTCCCACTGGGGACTGAGCCTGCAACCTGGGCATGTGCCCTGACCGGGAATCAAACCGTGACCTCCTGGTTCATAGGTTGATGCTCAACCACTGAGTCACACCGGCCAGACAGGAATTTTTGTCCAGATCACCCTATGTGGTTGCTGTCAGTCTCTGAGTTTGGAAGGCACATCATGCAGGCCTCCTCTGAGCTTGTCAGGTTTAGGATTTGGCCCCTTTTTCATCTACATTACATGACGAAGTACTTTTGCATACTTGTCACGAACAGAAAATATTTAATCTCAGATGTTGATTAATTTCTTTATAATTATAAACAAATAATGTCAGTCATTCTCATAATAACATTATAAGTGGCTTATTTGGAACTTATTGGGCTAAGTTTACCACTTGGAAACTGAAAATATTTTACACAAAATTTCCATTATGAGGTATGTACTTCATTGTGTCGTTTATGAAAAATCAGAACAATGAAACTGAGGAGAGGATGAAGAAACAAAATGGAGGTGCCATAGCTGAGCTAACAAAATTACTTAAATCAGAATGGGTTGAAACATGAATAGGTTTTATTTTACCTTACCTAGCCCGAGGACTTAAGCTTTTGAACTTTTCAGTTGTGTATCAGTGCCTGAGACATGTATAAATCCTACAGATAACACACTGAAGACCTCGGGAAGGAATGTGCGTGTGTACAGAACCCCTGACATCTGGAAGATCTCCCTCTCAGCCATTCCAGAAGCTGAGGTGCAGGACGGATCCTTCCCAGGAATGTACATTTTACTGTAAGTGTTACCAGTGCGAGGAGGAGACCCCAGTTCTTGTCTTCTAGAAGGAAAGATTTCAATCAAGAGACAAAGTGCAGCAGAGTAAGTAAGAATTTGTTGGCCACAGCAAAAATAGGCTTAGGACAGTGAAACAAGGAAGCAACAGGAGAGCCTAGCTGGGCTGAAGGTAAGAGTGCTAATTGATGCCAGAAGTAGAGGGTTTGTGCTGGGGTAGAGTAGGAGATAAAGGTGTCTGATAATTCAACATTTACAACTCTTGAGAACAAGAATTTTTCTATGAAATGCCTCTAACTCTCATTCTACTGAATTTTTAAGGGTGGGGCCTTTATCTTACCTACTCTGACATTTTCAGTGCCTCATACAGTGCTGAGATAGGGTATGTGGCCAAGCAGCTGTAACCAATGAGGGCTACATGGAGGGCTCTGTGCCTTAGAACTCGCAGAAGATCAGCTCCATCCAACACGGTGACTAATTTTACCTTATGGTAACCCCTAGTGTCATTAAGTAATACATTAGCGTAGTAAACAATACAACCGACAGCTGCCATGATCAGAAAGGGAAAGCCTATCTAAGAACACAACTTGGCCAACAGATCTCTTCGGAGAAGTCTCCACCCTTGTCCTGGAAAAATCCTGAATAGTCCTCTCCCTTATCGAATACCCTACCCCTCAATTAAATCAGTCTGAATAAAAAGTAAATCCCACCAGGGAGGGGCTGCTCTGTCTGTGCAGTAGCCCCTCTGTCTCACTGCTTCACTAGTAAACTCCCTTTCACTTTAAGCTCTATGCTGGCTGGTATTTGAATTATTTCCTGTGCAAAGTTAAGAACCCACAGTGGGTTGCAGATCTTCTGGTCCCCAGACCTCCAAAATGCCTACATCAGTAATTTCTGGGCCTGGCACAGAAAAGGCATTCTGTATTTGTAGAATGAATGAATGAATGAATGATATTCATTTATTAAGTGAATTACTCAAGATTAAACAACTACTAAGTGTTAGAGTTATGACTGGAACAAATCATTGTTTTTACCCTATTCAGACATGAACTATAAAATATTATAGAATCATAATTTCTCCATTCTCCTTAGCTTTTGGGTGGGCCTTAAGAAATTGGTATTAAGGCTCTCCAGAGAAATAGAATCAATAGGATGTGTGTGTGTGTGTGTGTGTGTGTGTGTGTGTGTGTGTGTGTGTGTGTAGATGAGAGAGAGAGAGAGAGAGAGAGAGAGAGAGAGAGAGGAGAGAGAGAGATTGGAGAGAGAGATTGTACGTAATGTAATTACGGAGGCTGACAAGTCCCAAGTCCCAAGCTCTGCAGTGTGAGTCTGAGTCAGTGAACTGGGGACTTAGAGGAGCCAATTGCGCAGTTCCAGTCTGAGTCCAAAAGGCTGAAAACCAGGAAGAGATGATGTTTCAGTTCCAGTTCAAAGACAGAAGGAAGCCGGTGTCCCACTCTGAAGGTAGTCAGGCAAAAGGAATTCTCCTTTACTTGGGAAGGGTTAACTTTTGTTTTTCTATTCAGGCCTTCAACTGATTGAATGGGATCCACCCCACCCACATTAGGGAGGGCAATCTGCTTCACTCAGTCTACTCATTTAAATGTTAATCTTATCCAGAAATGCCCTCATGGACTCCTGGTCTATATACCAGTTCTAAACATGTACTTGTCCACGTTCCTTTTGTTGAGCTCGTGCAGCATGGGGACGAAGAACACCTTTGCTCGGGTTCAAATTCCAGTTACCAGATGTATGAACCTGACAAGTTACTTTTCTTAGTGTCAGTTTCTTTCTCTATGAACTGGGAATAAAATTGGCTACTATTTGTAAAAAATAATATAAATGGAGCCACTTTAAAATGGAGCCAGAGCTGCCATGCCTCAAACCTTTGGAATGTTAAAATGGGGCAAAATGAACTTTGGTCTGGGCCGAAAGCAACCCTGTGTCCAAAAGAACTGTTTGAAAAGATAACAGGAAAGTAGACATTATAACTTAAGAACTAATGACTATGGTACTAAAAATTAAAAACAATAAGCTCCCCTTTGACCAGCATCGAACTTCAGTCTGCAGGTGAACACTCTACCCACTGAGCCAAGCCCTAAAGGCCACTATTCTCTTTCTTGCAAATACCCCTTGCCTTTGACTCCTAATCAGAACCCTTGGGTTTCTGCCTGAATCAGTGCTTCTCCAATAGCTTTTATTTATGTTTTTATCTCAAAGAATGCCTGTTGCCTCTTACTTTGGGTTATGTTTAGGTTATATCTAATAAGAAATATTAATACAATTTAATAAATGTGGCATACCAATACTATTTCTTTGATTCTATAGTCATTTAAAATATCAAATTATGTTTTTAATTTTAAAAACTCAAGTAAAATAATAATACTCTTCTATGCCAGGTACCTTTCATTTTACTTCTATTTTCTAGCTTTTATTTTCTAGTTTAATGCCTGCTACATAGTAAGCACATGATAAAAATGTTCAGAATACTTAATATTATTGTGTCAGGAAAAATATGACAGGGAATTTGAATTCTGTAATCCTAAAAATATACACATTTTGAGAGTAAATAATTTTTCTTTTGCACAAATATTAACTTGATTTGAAATGAAGCATTTGGAGAAGTTATAATAGCAGAGGCAGATCATTTAATTTACTTAATATTATATTGCTATGTAAGCCTGTAAGTCTAAAACAGTTTCCATAAACAACTAAAGATGACATGAACTTTTAGTTGATCCAGACAATAAAGTATATAATTTGTTTGCACCACAACATCTTTAATCTCAGTGGCATAACTATAATGACAATATTGCCTTACTTTGAAAAATACTTCATACTTGTCAAATTATTTGAGTATACTATCACATCTGATTCTTACAACAATCTTTTTTTTTCTTTCTTTCATTAGATGCTTACTACAATCTTAAAGAGTGGGTAAGTAGATGTCACTGTCCCCACTTTACAGGTGAGGAAACTGAGGAATGAGAGATTCAAACTAGTACGCCAAGCACCAAGCACCAAATTAATGACTGACTTAGGAACTGTTAACTTAGTATGCTTTCTAATACACCAAATCTAATTAGACTAAATTCTAAACTCTTACGTAAAAAATATCATCCAGGTCTTCAGTTAAGAAGTGATTTCTCGCCCTGACTGGTTTGGCTCAGTGGATAGAGTGTCGGCCTGTGGACTCAAGGGTCCCAGGTTCAATTCTGGTCAAGGGCATGTACCTTGGCTGTGGGCACATCCCCAGTAGAAGGCGTGCAGGAGGCAGCTGGTCGATGTTTCTAACTCTCTATCCCTCTCCCTTCCTCTCTGTAAAAAATCAATAAAATATATTTTAAAAAAAGAAAAAAAGAAGTGATTTTCTTGCCCTAGCCAGTTTGGCTCAGTGGATAGAGCATCAGCCTGCAGACTGAAGGGTCCCAGGTTTGATTGCAATCAAGGGCACATGCCTGGGTTGCAGGCTCTATCCCCAGTAGGGGGTGTGCAGGAGGCAGCTGATCAATTATTCTCTCTCTCAATATTGATGTTCTACCTCTCTCCCTCTCCCTTTCTCTCTGAAATTAATAATACAAAAAGAAATGATGTTCTTTCAATACAGGGGTCCTCAAACTTTTTAAACAGGGGGCCAGTTCACTGTCCCTTAGACCGTTGGAGGGCCGGACTATAGTTTAAAAAACAAAAACAAACTATGAACAAATTCCTATGCACACTGCACATATCTTATTTTGAAGTAAAAAAACAAAATGGGCCGAAACCGGTTTGGCTCAGTGGATAGAGCGTCGGCCTGTGGACTGAAAGGTCCCAGGTTCGATTCCGGTCAAGGGCATGTACCTGGGCTGCGGGCATATCCCCAGTAGGAGATGTGCAGGAGGCAGCTAATCGATGTTTCTCTCTCATCGATGTTTCTAACTCTCTATCTCTCTCCCTTCCTCTCTGTAAAAAATCAATAAAAATATATTTAAAAAAAAACACCAAAAAACAAAAAAAACAAACAAAATGGGAACAAATACAATATTTGTATTTGCATGTGGCCTGCAGGCTGTAGTTTGAGGACCCTTGTTTCAATACATGTGATTATTAGGCATTTTAAAATCTCAAAATTTTACATTAATAGGAATGCAAAATGGATTTTGTATATATCACATCAATAACAGTAGGTTATAACCAAAGTAACTAATTTTATACTCCAGTTTGGTTCACTAAATAATATCATATACTTTAGATGATAACTTTTCTCATATTAAAGTTAGAGTCTTGGGTTTGACTCAGCTGCCTTTTTCTAAGGGGCTATAATAAAATTTCTCTGTTGATATGATACTGATATGATATTGTCTTAAACTCACTCAAAAATATTTTTAAAGGAGTGTGATATGTAGTGGAAATAATAGTTTTTGTAAGTTGGTGCAGGATTTATATCCTTAACACCAATTTAAGACTCAAATCTTTTTTTATTGAAGTTATAATCTTGATAAGATGATAAAATAATTAGAATTACCCCAAACCTGCCATTCTGATGGTGTAGTTATTTGATATTGAATAATTTTCTCCTATTTCTTCAGTCTCTAAAGAAGAATAAATTCCAGTTGGTCTCCCAAAGGCCCAACTTGAATGGCTTCCCCCTAACTTTGAGTTTAAGGACCATGCCTTTTACTTCTTTCATACTCTGCCTTAGAGGACCCAGGACAATGCCATGCCTGTAGAAAGGTGCTTAATAAGTTCTAGAGCAGGGGTCCTCAAACTACAGCCCGCGGGCCACAGGCAAATACAAATACTGTATTTGTTCCCGTTTTGTTTTTTTACTTCAAAATAAGATATGTGCAGTGTGCATAGGAATTTGTTCATAGTTGTTTTTTTTTTTTAAACTATAGTCCGGCCCTCCAACGGTCTGAGGGACAGTGAACTGGCCCCCTGTTTAAAAAGTTTGAGGACCCCTGTTCTAGAGCATGAATATGTACCTGAAGTTGGTTTGGAAGAGACCTGGGAAAGTCTGGGATAAAGACACAGAAATACTCTCTTTGTTCAAAGTACAGATAAATAAGATACCGCAACTCTGAGACATCAAAAATAACAATCCTGGGTAGCAGTTGGTGAGAAGAAGCAGGTATAAGGGGAAAATGACATAGAGGAAGGCACAGCCACAGTCCAAGGAAATGAAGGCAAACTTTGATCATGAGACAAGGGTGAGCTAGGGAAGGGGATGATGTCATCAGAACAACAACAGAGGAAGACAGTTTTGGCAGCAGCTTTTGAATAGACTTTGAAGAAAAAAAAATGGGAGAGAGGGGAAAAAGGAAACAGGAAAAGGAAGTCTGCTCAAAACTCAGCATATTTGCAATGGGTGGGGAGCTTTCTGTCACAACTTGATGTTTGGAACATCTGGTCACCTTTTATAATGAGACCTTAAAAACCTCAGCTTTCTCAAGTGATCCGGTTAGAATATTTATGGATTGCGTGGCCTAACAGGCACTGCCAGTAGATAAGCCTATTTGAAGAAAGAAAAAAAAAATACAGATGGAAAACAAACTCTTCGCTTACACTGAGAACACTCTACTAGTTTTATGATGTAAATATTCATGTTTGTAAATGTATACACATGCTTTACGTGTTTTTGGAATTTATTGGTGTTGTGTCAAAATGAAAGTATTGTGACTTCTTTTTTATTTTAATGATCTCAAATGGCGAAATGTAGCTAACAGATTTACTAAAATTCCTCACCTTGCTTCATTTACAATATAGGCCAAGGTTTTCCATAGCACAATTGTGCCCTCTAGCGTTCTTAGAATTTAATGAAGGTTACTAATAATTCCTACTTTATCATCACTCTATGTCAGTAAAAGTGTGTGGCTGTGTGATGGTATAAATAAACCCTCACATCTCAGTGGCTTAAGAAACAAAATTTTATTTATCAGAAAGTCCAGAGCAGGCTGGCAGGGTCTGTGTCCAAGCAACTTCTTGGGGATCTAGACTTCCTGTATCTTGTGATCTCTATCACCTTCTCACCTGCCAGTCACCAGGACAGGGATATAGAGAGGAGGAGGCTCACAGGCTTTTAACTGCTTCAGCCAGGAAGTGGCACCTGGCAGCCTGCTACTGGCCAGAACTCGTCACGTGGCCCCAGCCCCAAACCCCAGGGAGCCTGGAGGAGGTGGAGAAGCACATGGATGTTTTGGGAACACTAACTGCTTCTCTAAAGCCTCTTCAGGAGCGGCTGGGGAAGAACATATCGGACATGCTAACTTTATTATTTTGGGAAATATTTTTGATTTGATGTTTTCCAGTAAAAAGGTATTCAATCAAAAAAGAGAATACAATGCAATTTTAATATTCATAGTTCTTCATTTTTCCATAACACTTAAAATTAAATATTCCATTTGTATAATGGCAGAGGTGTAGGGACAGGTTTATATTAGAATTTCTGTTCTAATTGACTTTTGTATTAAAATAAAGTACCCCTTATTTCCCTGTTGTTCTCTTTTTAAAAGGACCATCCTCCTCCTCCTGCAGCTATTTCTTAGATGCAAGTTATACTTTTATTTTTTTAAAATATATTTTATTGATTTTTCACAGAGAGGAAGGGAGAGAGATAGTTAGAAACATCGATGAGAGAGAAACATCGATCAGCTGCCTCCTGCACATCTCCCACTGGGGATGTGCCCGCAACCCAGGTACATGCCCTTGACTGGAATCGAACCTGGGACCTTTTAGTCCGCAGGCCGATGCTCTATGCACTGAGCCAAACCGGTTTCGGCTATACTTTTATTTTTAATTATTTCTTTCCAATTTTAATTTCAATATACTTGAAAGTTGCTTCCCAAACTGTTCTCCTTACTGATATTTCAACCTTGAGAAGTATATTATATATATATGAAAGTTTATAAATTATACCTATTAGTAGGGAAATATATAATAAATAATAATATAAGGATAAACTCTGTGTTTTGCAACTGTAAAATGACTTTTGCCCCACCCTATGAATACCTAAGGAAACTTTATGGTTGTCTATTAACTAATGAGCTTAATGGGTCTTATTTTCATTTTTTTAAATTGTGGTAAAACATACATAACATAAAATTTACCACCCACCTTAACCATCTTTAAGCGTGCAGTTCAGTGGCATAAACACATTCACACTGTTGGGGAATCATCACCATTATCCATCTCTGAAACTTCTTTATCTTCCTGAACTGAAACTCTGTGTCCATTAAAACTAACTCCTGCCATAGCCGGTTTGGCTCAGTGGATAGAGCGTCGGCCTGCGGACTGAAGAGTCCTAGGTTCGATTCCGGTCAAGGGCATGTACCTTGGCTGCGGGCACATCCCCAGTGGAGGGTGTGCAGGAGGCAGCTGATCAATGTTTCTCTCTCATCGATGTTTCTGGCTCTCTATCCCTCTCCCTTCCTCTCTGTGAAAAATCAATGAAATGTATTTTTAAAAAAACAAAAAAAACCTAACTCCGATTCCTCTCCGCAGTCCCTGAGAACCACCATTTTATGTTCTGTCTCTATGAACGTGACTACGTTAAGTACCTCATAGAAGTAAAATCATACAGCATTTGTCCTTTTGTGACCGGCTTATTTTATTTAGCATAATGTTTTCAAGGTTCTTTTCTTCCACGTTGTGGCATGTGTCAGAATTTCATTCCTTTTTAAGTTTGAATAATCCATTATATGTACATACCACAATTTGTTTATTCCTTCAGATTGGCTCACCTTTGGGACAGTATTACACTTATTTTGTTTAGTCAGTTAATCTTAATACTTATTTTGAAAGACATATAATCTATAGCACATCCTGATTAGAGAGACATCAAGTTGTTCAACCTTTGGCCACCTGTGTCTTCTTAGTCTATATATCTGACATACATATTTTAGTATTTCTATTTTTCATCACACTTTCTGGCAAAGCTCCACTTTTCAAAGGAATTTTTG